TCTGTATTTTTCGATCCAACTACTGTGTAGTAGGGGCGTTTCTCTTGGGGAAAAGTCGGCGGATCGGCATACATCCATTCTTCCGTGTTTTCTCGTCTTCCTCTTCTGATTTTACATTGATTCCAGGTGTATTTGCCACATTGTTAGTTTTTCCGTTAGCTCGGACCCCTACACGGAGATTCCCGCTGTTGTCGAAATCTAAATTATACTGCACCCCGGCCTGACCATCCAAATTAATCAAAATTTGTGGGGCATCACCTAAAGAAAATGGAGGCGTAAAACCCTCCGTGTTAAGCCGCACTTCTCGATGCACTTCATACGCATCATTCATACTGGCCCAACCAACTTCCTGTCCAGTTACATCCATTTGACCACTACCCGGGGTAAAATCACGTTTCCAATCCCAGTGTACACGACGATTCACGGTTTCTTTAGTGATCCGTATCTGTGATGTTCCTTGACTGGGGTGTTCCTGTGGATTGGAAGATATTCGTTTCGGTGGTTGGGGTTCTTGTGTCTGTGAGGTCGGTCTAAAGTGGGGAACACCTGTGTAACGCATTAATCTGTACTTTTTATCCCCTTCCATTGTATCGTCTGAATGTGGCAAGCTAAGCGAGCGTTGCACATGCGGCTGGTTTAAAACGGGAATCGAATATACATGCCCTGAGTGAAATTGGGTCGATGGCCCCTGGACCTCATGAGACAAACTACTGCGGGTTATAGCTTTATGATGTGCTCCGTCTGTAGTTCTTCCCGGCTTTAATCGCATTTGTCCGACCGCATCCATTGGCTTGGTTTGATCAATATCCATTGGAACAGGCGTAGCCCTAGGTGTCGTGACTGGTTGTTGTTTATGTTTGTTTTGGTTGATATCAGACTGGGGTTTTACCACCGGTTGCGGTATGAGCTCTGATAGCTCCGTAGCATATTCTGAATCTTCGTATGATTCGACTAGATCAAGGCTACGATCATGACTCACTATCGGTGGTTTCGGTAATGGTTGCGAATACTGAATTGTTGGAGGATCAATATCACGTTTGACTTCGGGTATAACACCACCAATCCCGGTGTTACGTCTTTTCGACTTGAAATCATCTTTTACTACTGAGGAGCTCGTCATTGATTGAACGTTCGCTTGATTTATTATAGGTTTCTTAGGTACTCGAGGAGTCTTTCTCACACGCTGAGTCTCAGATAGTTTCGCATTAGTTGAACTAGGGTCGGTTATTTTGAGCAATGGAGTTGATTTGTCATCTAACTGATATTGAGCTGTTATGATGGGCTGATCGACCGCAAGTGGCTGTTCTTGGTATTTGGTGCTTGAAGTGACACCCATTGGAGAATGATTAGGTTGTTGACTGGTGCGAACTTGAGGCTTGTCCGCGCCAACTTCGTGAGAATCCTTCTCTTTTTGTTTCGCATTTTGACATAAAACTTCGTATAAATTCCTCAGGTCTTCTGGTGAGCGAATTTCAATTTCCTCACCCAAACCAAAAATATTTCCGGGGTTAAATTTAACGTTAGCGACGGAACCCGAAAATTCTGGAACATTCGCCAATTTAGGAAACATTTCTTGTGACTGATATCCCAAATTTGGATCGCGCTTAACGGTTTGGCCAATCGCATTATCGGGCTGAATAACTAACTCACTCGTGCTACTAATGACCGAGTTTGCAATAGCATCTTCCATCTTAGGAGCAGGTGCACGAGTAATTCGCTCCACATTGGTGGGAATCTTTTCATTCCGAATCTCACGTCCGGTTTGGAGCACATCTTTACTTGATACGGCAAAATTACTAAGTTGATCTGGAACTGGTACGCTGGG